CAGTGTTTTTATTTCCCATTCTTCATCCATGAAGCTAAATTTTTCATTCGCAGATCGCCGTTTGTCAAGCCCTATTTGCATCAATTTCTGCACTTTCGATGTTACTCCACAGTTTCGATACAGCCCTTGCTCCCTTATTCCTAAAAACTCGCTCCTCTTCAGTCTCCTCAAAAATGTGCACTGGCATGTGAAGTTATATTCAGGCAGATCACCCAAACGGTTTAACTGGTAGATTTTACTTCCTTTCTGGTTTTTAATCTTTTGTTACTAAGCTGTGCGGAAAACCGATATCCCGCAATTCTTCGTCCCACAAATCTCGAATTTCAAAAGACTCCGAGCAGTATTTACATTGGAACGAAAGTACTGCGCATTCCGCCTATTTCCAGCATAGCAGTGCGAAACTGCAAATTTATGTCAGAAAAATATAGAATTTAAGCTTTGAAAGATATTATCTCAAGCATTTTCAGCCTTTAACGCTGCTTGGTGCAATCAACTTAATGTACACTATGTGTATACATGCGCATACGTATATGTGTAGTATAATTTTAACAAGCCCAGTGTTCCCAATGGTTTTAAAGCAAAGCGAGTAATCCTGGTCGTTCGCCCTACCTTTTTCTTCAATTGCTTCCACGCATTTTCGCACAAAATCGAATCCAATATCGTCGAGGGCTGCTGCAAAAACGAATACATTTCAGCTTTCATCTATCAAAGTTAAGAAATCTCGGGAAAAAACATTTTAACCAACCGTGGCATTCTTCCAGCACAAAGGCTGGCAAGAAAGCACTGCCGCAGTAAACCGCTCGAAGGCCTCTGGCAAGATTGTACGCAGATGTGCCAAGTTCACCAGTGGTACCCAGTGATGAAGCACGCTCCTTGACCGAGGACGGCATCGATTGTCAGTGAATATGAGAGCAACAGGAATTTCCAGAGAACCGAAATTTCAGAATGGATAGAAAAGTGTCATTTTCGCGAACTAAGACATTTCAGAGCGTAGTTAAAAAAACTGCACTTGCCTCCGAGTGAGCTTGAAACTGATGCTCAAAAAGGCCAACAAGCAATACGGAGAAACTTCCCAGCCTTCTTCCCCTCGTGCCCTACAAATTCCTCCAAATTTTAAATCCCGATTAGGTATTGAATTTTGCTCTCTCTCCCCACCAGTGCCTTTCCACCATCTCCTGCGCAAGTGACGTCAATTGGACCAGCACGAACATTGACATCAAAATGAATCCTTGGACGGAGTGTACTTTGAAAATTGAAAATTTTCTTAAAAATTGTTCCCCTAGAATAATATATATCGACAAGCCATTTCGCGGCACTCCGCAACAGCGCAGCGATTAGCCAATAAGGAAGTAAAATCCAGTGGATTCAAAGTTGAACAGATGAAAACCGCCCGGCCCTAGAAATCAAAAATTCCAATTCGAAAGGCTCGTCCCATCAATATTCTAACAAATCACAAGAGAACAGAAACGTTATCAGCAAATCGGATGAATCCATCGGAATCTCTTGACAGTGAATTACACGATTTCGGCTTCGAACTGGAAAGAACGAAACCACTGTCACCAGCACCTATAGTGGACTGGGCGACGGATGAATAACAGCTGTTCAGAGAAAAAAAATAAAGCAATCAGCAAGATTGCCCGGAATCAAAGCGTTTGTTGTTATTGAGATGCCATAGGCACAAGCATTACCAAGATTACCAGACTGCTCGGACAATGGGTATGGGAATCCAATGTTAGCAATGTTATTGAAATGTTCCAACACGCCGGTTGCAAAGGCTTATATACCATAAGTGTGCTATGCCAAGGATTTGCTTCTTTTAATGTAAGAAGATCAGGCGGGGAAGCGATGAAAATGAGACAAAAAACTTAGAGGAAAAGTAGAAAATCTAACTAGATCGTAGCAAAATTAAGCATCACACACGTTAGGGTTGTATATTAT